CATCCATATTGAAAAAATGCTCAATCCGTATCCAGAACTGATGGTGCCCTGCATTTTGGCGAGTAAATTCTGTATGTGTGTGTACGGGTAATATATGTATGTGATGTAAACATAGTGTATCACTTTACAATGCCCTACACTTTGATGACTATTGCAGTTAGGATAAAAAAAAATGATGATACTCATTTAACATTAATTAATATAATACCTGCAAATAACTTCAAATACATATATTCATCCATTATTATCATTTTTATTAGGTATAAATGTTAATAAGGAAGCTCAATTCCAAGTCGGCGTATCCAAGCATGTAGTGTAAAAACAAATATACATTAATTCAACATCGAGATTATGCTGGCCATGTGGTTAGGGCGTCAGAGTTCTATTTTGCCGGGCAGGGTTCGATCCCAGTCATAACCAATTTTTTTTTTCTACTTTATTCGTTAGATTAGCATGTAATTATAATATTGACATGCTATAATTAATCTTTTATAACAATTTGATTTTTTTTTCTCTTTATTCATTGAATTTATTGACGCTAAGTCGAAAAATATTTGAACAGAGCCATAAACTTTCTTTTTGTATAAATACATTGATAATAGCCTGTGTTTAACAACTTATACATCTTTACATGTATTAACAATGTTATGTTATTAACAAGTTAATCATATTATTATCAACATTGAAAAGTAGTTTAAACAATCCGTGGCGAGTTCCGGCACTTCGCTGGCAAGCTCTACCCCCACTCTCTATGCCCAAGCCTGCAGCTTATAATTTTTGAGCATATATAAATGTTTTGTAATCATAATAGCTCGGTGATTAGCGCACATATATGTAATACTCCTATATTGCTAGTCGGTATAGGGAGAGAGACTTAAACATTACGGTGCAGACATATATGCGTTTGTCTCACTTATTATACGCTGCGACTTGTGCGCATGATCGTGAATGGAGTGTGCGCATTAGATAGCATTTCAATTTGTACAAGAAATGAGATAGCATCTCTTGCAAATAGAATAGCGTCATTTTGCATATGAAGTAGTGTCTGTTTTACATGCTACATCCAATTTTTTATATATTTTAATTGACTTCATTAATAATTATAGTATTTAAATATTGAAATTTTTTATTTATATTTTATTTCAAAGCCATTTCAGAATCAATTCAATGTTAATAATAATTATTATATTTATAAATATTTACGTGTACAAATAAATTGGGAATTGTCAGCTATTGCTGAAAACGTTGTATTATATATTTCCGGATTTATTGCATATAAATTAACAAAAAAAATTGTAAAATGTCAAGTTTGTATTATACAATTAAAAGGCGACGCTACTAAAGGCACAATGCCTTTATTATCGCAAATAAAAAATCGCGGACCATATATAACACCATCAAAGGATGTAATGGCTATTTGCAAAGTTTGCGAACAGATTATCAGAAAATATCAATCGGAAATAAGTAAACCTTCAATTAAACAATTTTTAATGAATAAAATATTTAACAACATAGGGATGCAATTTGACAATAAAATCATGAATGAACACATTTTATCACAAGATATTTTGGATAATCATCGATCGCAACTTTGCAAATACGTTATCGAATTATATTTAAATACTCGGTTACATTATGAAGCCAAAAAAATGTCCGAGAAGGATCATTGTATAAGACAGAAATATACAAAACTCGTATTATTTAAACACCAATAAGTTTAATAATGTATAATTTGGTATACTGGTATGTGTAAATAATAAATTATTTATTGTTAAATATTCTTTTTTTTATCTTAGTTTTTTATTTCCTTATATCCTTTCATCAATTCTCCATTTTTTCTAAAATGCCTGTTTCAGATATGTTGTTCATTTGAATGAAGCTGCTTATAAGAAGTAGAATATGCAAACTTCATTTTAAAAAAATTAAATAAAATCTTTTTTCATTAACAAAGAAAAAAAACATTTCTATTTGTAAATTGTTTAAAATTAATTTCAGAGCTCATGAATGCTACATTTTTTATACAGTAAACTTTAAAATTATTAAATAAAGATATTTAAAATCCAATAGCTTGTATACTATGTATAATTATCATTATCACATTTTAATTGTATTTATTGTATAATAACTTTCATTAAAATATAGACAGGAAAAAAAATATTTTTTAAATTAATAATCATGAATATTTATTTATCATCATCACATTTATATATAATTAAAAAATAGAAGAGCAATGTCAACTATTGTGGTGATGTACAAAAGTGATTAGTATGTAGTTTGTAAAATCTAATACAAAAATAATAATTTAAAGGAACAATAATTGACTTAACCCTCTATAACTCAAGAATATGAATTTTTAATTTTATGTTGTTTACGGGTAATTAAGACAAAATAAGATTAGACGAGTTTCGTAGTTTTTTATTTATTCAATTAGTTTCCAAAAAAAATAGAAAAACAGGGAGAGTTGCCTGGGGGGCAATATAATGTTAAAAAACGAATCATATAAATTAAGTAGTAGGTTGAACGGTATGTTGCTTACAGTCTACATCATGATATAGGGCGTTAATTATTATTTTTCGCATTTATTACATGTGATTCTATTACTGTGGATGTTGTGTCAAACTCAAAGAGTTGGGGCAGCTTGGGGAAAAGACTTTAAAATTTCAATTCTCCAAAAACTTTCAATTGTAATTTTTATAAAACAATATAATTTGTACTGGTATTTGAAAATATTATTTATAGTCATCGAATTGAATTACAATTATTGAACAATAAAAATTAATTTGTTCTTATAAGTTTAGATTATTTTATTTATTATAAATTTATTTACAAATAAATAATATATAGAAATACCTTTGAAATTAGATATTTAATTATTATATATAAATGATTTAATTATTATACATGTTTGAACAATTATTAATTGAAGTTATTCTACTAATAATAATAATAGAGAAAAGAAAAGAATGAAGAAAAAAAAAAAACAAAAGAAGATTTGAACACCCGAAACTCACTGCCGGAGTCGGGAGCTTTACCGCTGAGCTACGAAGCATACACAAACTTATTTACTATAACTTAATTTTAAGTTGTGAAAGGGAGGTGGCTTGCCCTTCTCCAATTGCCAATTCTCCCTCTACGGTAGTGACGTTTGCGCACAACAGTTCAAATGAAAAGAAAGAGACAGACATATTCATTTTCTGTCTCACTTCATAGGCCACGCGCCCACTTACGGGAACTAGCAATATAGGAGTATTAGATATATGTTAGCGCATCGGCCTTTCATTTTGATGGGCAGGGTTCGATTCCAGTCATGGTAAAGTTTTTTTTTTTCTTTTTCATTTGTTAGATTTGCATGTAATTATAATATTAACATGCTAAAATGAATTCTTACCAATGATTTGATTTTTTTTTCTCAATTATTTATGTAATTTATCGACGCCGAGTCGGAAAACATGAACAGGGTTATAAACACTTTTTTTACTATAGCTATATGAACGTAGCTTTTTTTTAAGCAATTTAGAAATATTTAGAAGTAGTTGAAATAATCCACGGGGATTTCCGGCACTTCGCCGGCAAGCTCTATCCCCACCTTTCGTACTCAAGCCTGCATTATACAATTTATAAACATAAATATAATGTCAGAGATGATGTGTTAGCTCTGTGAGTAGAACACCAATCTTTCATTTTACCGATTAGGGTTCAATCCCAGTCATAGCCAATTTTTTTTTCCTTTTTTTTTCATTAAAATTTTATATAAATACAATAATTGGTTGTTTATATAAGTTCAAAATTAATTCCTATTGTCTTTTAAAGACAACACTCGAAAAAAGAGAATTCATAGTAACTCGTTCCTCACCCTCAGCTTATTTTCAGAAAAACAAGTTTTTTTCCGTAATTAATTGGAAGAATAATGTAATAAAATATATGAATTGATTTATAAGTATATAAAGTCACTTGAACCAGAAACAGAAAAAAAAATTGCCTATGACTGGGATCGAACCCTGCCCAGCAAAATAAAAGGTCGGGGCTCTAACCACTATTACACTGAGCTATTATAGTTCCAATTATATAAACGATGCTTGAAAATTATAAGCTACAGGCTTGGGCACAGAAAGTGGGGGTCGAGCTTGCCGGCGAAGTATCGGAACTCGCCGCGGATTGTTTAAACAATTTTTTATTGTTAATAAGTTGTTAAAAAAGGCTATTATCAATGTATTTGTACAAAAAAAGGTTAATGGCCCTGTTCAAATATTTTCTCATTTATCATTGATTAATTGAAAAAAAAATTTTACATAAAAATTGAAATTTAAAACTCATTTTTGGCATGATAAAATTGCAATTATATGCAATTTAAATAAAAAAAAAATTTTGCCGCAATTGGAATCGAACACCGTTCGGTAAAATAACTGGCGAACCTTCTGACTATAGAGCTAGCAATTTTCATTTGCTTTGTTTACGTTTAGATATCGTAAGCTTCAGGCTTAGTAACAGAGGGTGGGGAATGTGCTTGCTCGTCAACTGTTCGAACTCGCAGTCTTCTCTGAAAAATAAGACGGAGATAGATAGACATTTTTTGTGCTCTGTCTTGCTCGGAACAGATTATTCTGAAATTTGTAAATTTCTTGTTGCCCTAAGGCTCCCTTTTTGTAGTGCATCCCTGAAAATTATCATTTTTCGAACGATTTCTCTGTTACCTACTCAATTTCAATTGATGTCAAGCTTCGGCCTTTTGCCGCACAACGCGAGGGCGTAAAGTCAACTCCGGGAAACTTTCTGACTTCAGCCCAGCCTTAAGGAAACTTTCTGAATTGAGTCTAGCCTTAGTTAAAAATTTTTTTGTCTTTGTCGGATGATTACATCAAAACACTATCGTTATTTTATGAAACATTTAAATCATATTATTATTTAAATTTCAAATTATTCTTTCGTAGTATTGCTTTTTATACTATGAAATTTTTTAGACTCTACATAATGTAGATCAATAAAATTGATGGTTTTTTTAAAAAAACTCCGCCATTTTTAAGTTGTAATTGTGTTTATATTTAAGATAATGCAATAAATAATTAAATCGAATCGAGAAAATTAACTTTTTCTGATTTGCTGCAGATACTCTTAGTTTTCAAGTTTTTATCTATCATCAACTTTTCAATTTATAATAAAAATATTTTCAAAGATCAATATAAGATTTTTTCTAATGTCAATAACTTTGGTGTACTGGGAGGTGTACACTAAACATCATATAACATATTTTTTATTTTCAATCATCATCCAAATGTTCCCTACTTTATTTTGATAATCACTTTCAGTTTAAAGATTTTAACAATTGACGTAATGTGTTCGATAATCAACCCTTAATTTAAAATTATACATTTTGAATCATTATCAGCGTAAATGAAAAAACTACAATTAATACACAATATAGAGAAATGTTCGAGTAAAGAATGCTGAAATGTCCACGATTAAATTATACGTAAGTTCAATCGTTTTTACTGATTAATTTTTGAAAAATATTTTATTTTTAATATATATTTATTAATTTAAGGAGTTTTAAGGTGGTTTCCAAGTAGCTTAATAAATTATAATGACCGAATATAAACTCGTTGTTGTCGGAGCAGGAGGTGTTGGAAAATCAGCTCTTACAATCCAACTTATACAGAATCATTTTGTTGATGAATATGATCCTACTATTGAGGATTCTTATAGGAAACAGGTATTCATTTTTATATTATGTTTTATATACATACATTTTACACATCAACCATTGTTTGGAACAATTTTAAAAAACTACAACATATATTTTATATTGATATACTTTGATTAATGAGTATTCAAATAATTTCATTTTTTTTTTCAATGTACCTATACTTCATGTAGCTGTCGGAAGAGCGAATGTGAATTAATCTTTTGTAATTCATCAGGTTGTTATTGACGGCGAAACGTGCTTATTGGATATATTAGATACAGCCGGACAAGAAGAGTACAGTGCAATGCGAGACCAATATATGAGAACTGGAGAAGGATTTTTATTAGTTTTTGCTGTCAATTCAGCCAAGAGCTTCGAAGTACGTAGTAAATTAATTTATGTACAATAAATCTTTCACGCAAAAATAATATCAAATACAATTTTTTTACAGGACATAGGTACATACAGAGAACAAATAAAAAGAGTAAAAGATGCAGAAGAAGTACCGATGGTATTGGTAGGTAATAAATGTGATCTTCAACAATCTTGGGCAGTAAATATGACTCAAGCAAGAGAAGTCGCTCGTCAATATGGCGTTCCTTTTGTAGAAACTTCAGCGAAAACAAGGATGGGAGTCGATGATGCTTTTTATACTTTGGTAAACTAACTAATATAAACATTGTAATTAAATAGATAGTTTGAAATTTCGACAGGAATAACATTTGAAAATTTTTACATTTCTTGAATTTTTTTAGTATCAATTAATTCATTTATCTTCTTGTTTATTCACAAATATAATTGTTGAAATTTTCTATTTTTAATGAAATTGAATTTAATATACATGACTTTGCATCAAATAAAATATTGTACAATGGATTTATATCAATATAATTTTATTGTAGGTTAGAGAAATTAGAAAAGACAAAGAACAACGGGGAAAAGAAAAAAAGAAACGTATGAGAGCTGGAAATTCTAATCGCAGGAGAACCCGATGCTGTCTTCTCTAAATATTGCATGATATTACTTCGTAAACGCACAATCAAAGAAAAAAATCATACTCTGGATTCAATAGAATATCTGTAAAATATATATCATTTGAATTGTAATATTTTTTCCAGACATGTATTGCTTTTTTAATTGAATATATTTTGATTTTTTATCTGATACTTGATAATACTATTAGTTGTTCGTTTATGGATAGGTTAGAACTAGAGAAGTTAATCGGAAATTATTTTAAACCGAATTCAATAAGCAGATCAAAGTTAGGGCACCTGCGTAGACCACCTGACGATTATTGCCCGGGAAAAAATAAAATAGATTTTTACACAGACCCACATTTTCGCCATTTTTTAAATCTAATTTGATCTACTCATATCTAAAAAAACTGAAGAAAATCTGATCTAAGTAAATCTATGTATATCTAATGAGATCACTGTGTATCTACACAGATTACTGTATATCTATGAAGATCTCCATTGACCTCGATGATAAAAAAATTTAATATATCCACAGAGATCACAGAAGATCTAAAATGATTGAAACAGATATACAGTATCGGACATAAATGCTGTTCAATTTTTTGAAGGTCATACATGCGATCAAGAGATACGGTAGTGTCTCGTGCCAAGCATAAATCGCCGCCATCAAGCCCTTACGTCACGACGTAGCACTACCGTGTCTCTATACAAATTATAAGATGATTTTTGCAGGTTATGATTTTTAAATTTACAATTTTTTTCTTATTATAATATAAACATGCGCTGAAATTAAGAATTTGCTCGGAAAGCGATCGTTGACTTTCGATTAAGCATACTATGAAGTATTATCATTGCTTCATTCATAATATACGAAATTGAAAAAATTTTGTTGCGCAAAAATTGAGTAAAATGAGAGTTTATTCATGGAGCAATCATACGTTTTTTATAAAGTTGGTGAACAGAGTTTTTGATTGCAATGAAGTTCTTTCACTAACAGATTATAAAGTTGTTAACAAGTTACTTTTGCTCGAGCGCGAAAATACAAATAATTAAAATATTTTCGAAACAGATTTATTTTTTTTTATTATTCCTTTTTAGTTGATATGTTCAAAAAATGGTGAAATCTCCATAAAAACAGCCCCCTCCTTCTGGGCTGTACAAAAATGTGCGCCGAACATAAACAACGACAATGATGAAATTACAAAAAGTCCTAAAATCATTAAACGCCAATTATTTAAATCTATGAATCTAGTGGAAAATGAGTGCATATCTTCATCTTCATTCTTAATTATGATGGAGTAATTAATTTAAGTATATTGTTGTTTTCCGATGTGAAGAATGAAAAAAAAATTTCGATTGAGTCCTATATTAAGGCTGGGCTCATGGAGAATATAATAAGGAGGCCGAGCTCAGGGATAGGATTTTGGTACTAAAAGTAGAGTTGGTGGATAGTTCTCCTAAATTCTACAGGCAGCGCTGATGTCAAGAAGCGTCAAAAAAATTGAAACAAGTGGGAGAATAGAAAAAGAGAGAGGGAAAAGAAAATTAAAGCGCGACAGTGGTAGATCCGCTCACATTAGTTGAGGCCAGACAGCCTAGAGAAGAAGGTACAGAAAACATGATTTTTGTAGCTTTTAAAATCTGTAACTTTTTTCAACATTAATATTAAGGAATAAAAATTGGCAGACTAATAAGGAAGTCTGATCTGTAATCCTGCCCAACTAAAATAATTAAAAACCGTGAATCGACCTTGCGAGCAATTATGAGAGCATCAATTTTAAAAAAGAAGGTACAGAAAACATGCTTTTTGTAGCTTCTAAAATCTGTAACTTTCTTCAATATCGATATTGAGGAATAAAAATTGGCAGACTAATAGAGAACAGTCTGATCTATGATCCTGTCTGATGAAAATGATTGAAAACTGTGAATTGACCTCGCTACAGATTTTAGAAGATGAAAAAGCATGGTTTCTGTACCTTCTTCTCTAAAATTGATGCTCTCATAATTGCCTGCGAGGTCGATTCACGGTTTTTAATTATTTTAGTTGGGCAGGATTATAGATCAGACTGTTCTCTATTAGTCTGCCAATTTTTATTCCTACAGTTATTCAATAGACGATTATTGTTAATTAAATTGATGAGTTGGGAATTTTTTCAAAAGAGCGTCTGCTTCAAAAGTACAGCAAGACGGAAAGGCTGGACGCTGAAAGGTCAAAGCAGCGCTCGCTATCTGTCCCTTTAGATATTCAAAATAGTCATTAAAATTTCTTTTTTTTTATTGATGTTCGCAATCGTCAATTTCTTGTTTTTCTTAAATTACTTTTCTGAAAAATTTTTTTTTCTACGCAGGGAGTTGATTTCAGATTATTTTGTATTAAATTCAATTCTATTAGTTTTTCATTTTGCTTCGATTTCGGTCCCTCAGAGGGAACCACTTTCTGTCTTCATGCTCCTCCTCCTCTCAATTATGATGCTCCGCCTTATAGGGAGCGTGACATCCGTCCCCAATAAGATGTCAGTCAAAGGCATTTTTACAATCTTTTAAATTTAAATCTTTAAATGTATGATCTTACTGATTGTCAATCAAATTCTATGATGCCCAGATTTTTTATCTAATGATCATTTTAAAAATAAGCTTTATTCTTTTAATCTTTTAAAATTGGTTTTTTTTATTTTTAATCATTTAATATTCAATCAAATTATAAAAATTCTTCTTTTTTTAAGGCTGGGCTAAAGTCAGAGAGGCAACTGATTCCCCCTATCCAAATGCATGGGATCGGGATATTTCTAATTTCTTCGCCAATTTACTATTATTTCTATAAAATTAGGTACCAAATTACAGAGGAATTAATGCCGGACTGACGTAAACAACAATTTTTTGTATATAGTGAATATTTTTATTAAAAAAATTAGAAAGAATAATGAAAAAATTATGAATTGACTTGCCGCGCTTAAATTTCAAGATGGCGGCCACATCATTCAGATGAAAAATCACTAATTATTTCATTTTTATACGTTTTTCGCCCAAAATTCGTGTTTGCGTCAGTCCTTGCCACCTGTCTGAATGTTAAAAAAATCAATTCATAGTGTAAAATTGAATAATTTAGAAATAATTAGAAATCTTGTATTCCAGATGATATTCTCCGGAAAATTAGTTTGAAAAAATTCTGATAGGTGACAGCATTATGCTCGCAGATGACCTCAGTCATCCATATTGAAAAAATGCTCAATCCGTATCCAGAACTGATGGTGCCCTGCATTTTGGCGAGTAAATTCTGTATGTGTGTGTACGGGTAATATATGTATGTGATGTAAACATAGTGTATCACTTTACAATGCCCTACACTTTGATGACTATTGCAGTTAGGATAAAAAAAAATGATGATACTCATTTAACATTAATTAATATAATACCTGCAAATAACTTCAAATACATATATTCATCCATTATTATCATTTTTATTAGGTATAAATGTTAATAAGGAAGCTCAATTCCAAGTCGGCGTATCCAAGCATGTAGTGTGAAAACAAATATACATTAACTCAATATCGAGATTATGCTGGCCATGTGGTTAGGGCGTCAGAGTTCTATTTTGCCGGGCAGGGTTCGATCCCAGTCATAACCAATTTTTTTTTTCTACTTTATTCGTTAGATTAGCATGTAATTATAATATTGACATGCTATAATTAATCTTTTATAACAATTTGATTTTTTTTTCTCTTTATTCATTGAATTTATTGACGCTAAGTCGAAAAATATTTGAACAAAGCCATAAACTTTCTTTTTGTATAAATACATTGATAATAGCCTGTGTTTAACAACTTATACATCTTTACATGTATTAACAATGTTATGTTATTAACAAGTTAATCATATTATTATCAACATTGAAAAGTAGTTTAAACAATCCATGGCGAGTTCCGACACTTCGCCGGCAAGCTCTACCCCCACTCTCTGTGCCCAAGCCACAGCTTATAATTTTCAAGCATCATTAACATTATTAGAATCATAATAGCTCAGTGGTTAGAGCACCAATCTTTTATTTTGCTGGGCAGGGTTCGATCCCAGTCATAGGCAATTGTTTTTTCTTTTTTTTGCTTAAGTGACTTTATATACTTATAAATTAATTCATATATTTGATTAAATTATTCTTCCAATTAATTACGGAGAACAACTTGTTTTTCTGAAAATAAGCTGAGGGTGAGGAACGAGTTACTATGAATTCTCTTTTTTCGAAAGTGTTGTCTTTAAAAGACAATAGGAATTGATTTTGAACTTATATAAGCAACCAATTATTGTATTAATATAAAATTTTAATGAAAAAAAAAGGAAAAAAAAAAATTGGCTATGACTGGGATCGAACCCTAATCGGTAAAATGAAAGCTTGGTCAAAGAATACAGACCCATAGAAGCCCAGGGCAATAGGATTTAATGTCGCAGTAGAACGCTCAGTACTAACTGCGACCACAGATGTCGCAGCAGTCCAAATGAGTAGGCTGCAGATGGAATGGCCAGCAGTCGTTGACCAAACGTCAACCGAACCAGTACTGAGTTAGTATGTAGATGAATGTTTGAATTTTTAGGTGATTTAGATAGCAGAAAACATTGATAACATGGATGAAAAAATTCATTAAAGAAACAACGAGGTAAACAATAAATCAGAGCCAGGTTACATATCCGAAATTCTCGAATATTTCCAATTAGCATATCGCATTGTAAAAAATGCAAATTTCGAATAAATGACAATGGAACATGATTTTTTCATCGTTCATAATTGAGAATTTTTTTAATTATCAACATTGAAAGATAAAAAATGGCAAAATTATAAATATAAGTCTGATGTAGAATTCTGTATAATTGAAATATCGAAAAGCCGCGAATCAAGCTCGCGGGCAGTTATGAGAGCGTCCATTTTTGGGAAAAAGGTGCTTAAAACATAGCTTTTTCATCTTTTAAAATTAATTACTCTCTCAATTATTAAGATTAAGGAGTAAAAATTAGCAGGATTATGGATAACATTCTAATGAATAATTCTGCATAATTAAAATATCGAAAAGCCGCGAATCAAGCTCGCGGGCAGTTATGAGAGCGTCCATTTTTGGGAAAAAGGTGCTTAAAACATAACTTTTCCATCTTTTAAAATTAATTACTCTCTCAATTATTAAGATTAAGGAGTAAAAATTAGCA